CCAAAAGATGCCTTCTGGCGTGCCTGGGCGGAGGCTCTTCCTCAAGCAAGAGTCTGGGGAGCTCACACCTATGGCATCCCACCAGAAATTGCTTACTGAGAATTTTGTTATGCTCCCTTACGGGAATCGATTTTGTCTCACTGTGAAGTTGGTGGTCTGGCGACATCAGAAGACATCCTGTAGCTGCAGCTTCGTTCGATACCTCCAGCTAGTCCCCGGAGACCAAACAAGCGCAGCATAGTTCAGAACTGGACAGCCAATTGCCTTGTATGTTGCCAAGTCTTTACCCCAGGTCCTGCCAGACAGCGACTTGAGGATCTTGTTGCGGCTCTCTACTTTATTGACAGTTGCGGTTGTGTGCGCGTAAAAGGAAATACGGCTACCAAAGGTGACCCCTAATCTTTTCGGATCTTTCGCCGTCGGAATTGGTGTGCCATCGACGTGAATGCCTAGTAGTTGAAACCTACCCACCTTAGAGCAGGTGGTGAAGAGGGTCGCCGTTGATTTCGTTGGGGAGGGTTAGGCTCCTTGCAGGGAAGAAACGAGAAAGTACGAAGAGGTAGGCGTCTACTTTCGAGGAGCTGTCATAAATTACATTCCCAGACGCCAACATCGAAAAGTTTTCAGCGTATGAGATGAGGGAAATTCCCTCCAGTGGCAAAGGAAGCTTCGAGATATACATAGTTTTGATTTTGAAGTTTGATCACGAATGGTTACTAACCACTGCCGACCACAAGCCTCGATCGACGGCCTCTCAAACGTAGGAGAAAGTTAACGTTAGGAACCTAACAAGGGGATAAAAAAGATCTGCTAGGTCGCGGTGTCACTTGTTTCTGTTGTACCCAGTAATTCAGCTTCATTGCGTAAGTCGTAAATTAGGCTAAATTGTACGACTCGACAACATTGGCATTGTCTACTGTCGTGCTAAAATAAGCAAAATGACGAAAATCGTCGAAAATTATGCAGTGCTGCCAAGTGTCTCCGTTTTAATACACTAGTCGAGTGGAAGTTTTAGGTAATGACGTGAAATTTTCGATACACTTCGACTCTCGAAAAATGACTTGCATTCGACACGACTCTCGCAATGAGGCTGATTAACTACAAACAAAGACGGTTTTAGCCCGATTTTATAATTCTTACGGCAGAGTTTAGCTCGATGCCGGCCCGACTCACGAGAGGTGCGGAATAACCCTCATGCGAGGTGTTTCTTCAGAAATGAACAATGATCGGAAGGATTTACCGACATAAACACGATTAGATTGCCCAAACAAACAAATAGTCATTCTTAGAGTAAAATTCCGAATGGAAATACTGCTACGATTATGCATCACTTCCACAATTCAGTGTGCCTTACTTATGGTTTCACCAACCTCTAATACATATTTTTTCTACGCGCGTTCGTAGTCGATGACAAAAGATAGTTAATGAACCGAAATAATATTCCTTAGCGTAAGCTATAGATACTTCAGAGTTTTAGCAGAAAAGGACTTATAGCAGAACCAGCGTCTGCAATTCAGTTCCGAGTGAATTTCAACCAAAGTCACATTGAATTCATATTAAAAGGGGTTGAAATTCACTCGGAAGTGAATTGCAGAACTTGCCCGAAAAACTCTAAAAACACGGTGAAATGTAATACAATTTCCATTTAAAATGCATATTTATTTTTTTTTATCTATATTTATCTGTATTTATCATATTTTTTTTTTTAACTATATATTACACATTCAATTTGTATATTTTCTTTATATTTTAATTACTATATATATAATACATGTACAATTCACGACAAAAGCGGATACAAAACGAATATGTATGTATGTATGTACGTACTAATCTGCTATCATCTACATATGACTACTAACATATCCTATTATATTGTGTATAATACAAACACGTCTGTCTTAATATTTGCGTAAGTATGCATTTATGTGTGTACGTGTGTACGCTGGTGTACGAAAAGGAAAAAAATATTATTTATTACATAATTATGAGTACGTACATATGTGTATGTACATACAACGTACACATTTTCACATATTTTTAAGGAAAATTATACAATATAAGTAGGTAATTGAGAATTCTCTAGAAAGGCCAAACTTTCCATGAAACATATCAAAAAAGAACTAATTAAAACTAATTTATATAGTAATATTGCAATCATTGAAAATAAATAGCAATTTTTGCTATACAATATTTAGAACGAAAAATTAGTTACAAACAGGTAAATTAAGAAAATTCAAAATCAGTTGAGACAAAATTTGAGCTTCGGTTTTGTTTAGCTAAATTAATAGTGGCGAATTTGCAATATTAGAACATATAGTATATGTATGCATATTAACAGTTTTATACATTAATTCGTTGTGTATGCGAGATTTTAGCTAAGTTTGCTACATGCGTTTTTTTACGATATTTATGAGGAAAGCGTTATACCCTCTTTTTAAAGCTGTACAGAATACGACTTTAAGATCTTATTTTCGAAAGAAAGAGGTAATAAAATGCTCGATGCGTTTAACGATAACAAAGTCTCAGAACTGAATGACCAAGTCTGAATAGGATTAGGGATGCACAGTGAACTACATATAACCAGTATGGAGCCATTTATCGATACAAAAACTAAAAACCCTATAGTCTAAGATCCGACAAGGGCGGTTTAATGGACGAAATCTGCTTTATGTGAAATTTAGCGTGTTAATAAATATTTCGCAAGTGGGTTGGCTTAAAAAAATCCTGGCTAGGACATTTTTAATAAATCTATTCAAAAATTATTATTTTTAATTTTGTACTCATTTGTTTAATTAACAAATTATATACAAATCGAAAGTATTAAGCCTATACAATGCGAAAACGTTGGGTTGTCTATTTTTTCTTGGCCTACCTATCTGGTTGGCAGGTATGAATAGGTACGTATTACTAGTAATTTTCACTCATCTGTTTAACACATCTATAGGCTTTAAGCTTTCGTTTGGTATATAAGTAATTTCTTCATTAAACAGATGAATGCCCAATTAAAAAAAATAATAATAATAATAATATTTTAATATATTTTATTAAAAATATCCTGGCCGGGATTTTTTCAGCCAACCCATTGGCGAAATATTTCCAAATACGTTAAATTTCATACAAAGTAGATTTCATCCATTAAACAGATGGGTCTTGTCGGATCTCCTGCTACTAGTAGATTTTAAAATTTATCTACGCTTTAAACACAAATTTTGTTCTGAAAAAAGAAAGGGCAGATAAATTTTAAAAGCTACTTGAGAAAACGGCACTTACTTAGAATGCGGATTCGCATAGAGTTCTGTGGTAGCTGTGTACACAAATACCCATCACCGGCAGAAAATCAATAACATTTTGCTTAAAATTAATATGTAGTGAATACTAATTGCTGAGAAAGAGTATACGCTCTGGATAGAAAAAGTCGAAGTAAACTGTGTTTAGAGTGAAAAGCTGAATAAATTGATACAGAAGAATTTGAACTGAATAATGAATTTATGGTAAGAGGAGTTAAAAGTGTTATTTTGTTCTTCCTTTCGCACTTTCTGGGCCTACGACCTCAGATAATAAGGGAAATGACTTGTGGGGCGTTGCTACAACAGTCGAGCCTGCGTAATCAGAACGACACAGATCTATTTCTCGCCAACGACTGTTACTACAGCTGATTCCTCCAAAAGGTTTTGGAAACTTTTAGCAGAAATAAGTGAGAATAAGTAAGTCACAGCGGCAAAAAAAAAACATCACCAGGAAAAGGTTTACAAATCTGTATCGGAAAAGGCGCTAAAAGGTTGACGTATTCCTGTTGTGTAACTTTCTACTACAATTCAGCTCAACTTATTTCGAGAAAAAGTAGAGTATTTTTACAAAAATCCTTTCATACAACTTCAATAAAATTAGCGTATCGAGGAATTTCTGATAAAATTTAGCATCTTGATTTGATGGATTTTAGTACATTTTGGAATATCTTAGTAACAGATAGCCGAGAAGACTTTGGAGGCTATCGAAAGAACTATTCTATGCAAGATGTAGAAACCATTTCGGGTGGGAGGCGGGTTTAAAAGAAGAGGCTATAACCAACTGCACGCGCTTTTTACATAAGTTACATAGTTAAGAGCATAAAGATACCGAGTACGCGGGCTTGAGTGTGCATGGATGACAGTCATACGGTAAAAAGATCCTGCGACTCTCAACTTATGGGCGCAAACTGAAAGCAAGGTTTTTGGTATCGTGCCATTACTGAATATACCCTTAATTTATAGAATAATTTGTTGTCACGACAAGCAATGGCGGTGAATATCTACCCTGGGCCGGAATCGTAGCATCTTTGATCGAAGGATTACTCTGTTCTAATAGAATTAAATAAAATTACAACTGTTTTCCTGATTCGAGCTCTGAACTATCTCTTAGAGAACTACATTTCTTCAACATCTTTTGTAATTATTCTGAGATATGCATTCAAGTTTAGAATTCTTAAACTTGTGTTTAAGGAATACCCACTAATAGTTTGTTGTTTCAATTATCAGTAAATTCTGTAAGAGACTAGCGCGTAAAAAACTATTGAAAAAAAGGATTTGGAAACATTACTTTAAATTTGAAATTTGTAGCAAAAAAAATAGGATGTAAAATGCTGATGGATTTCGTCAAAAAAAATCTTGAAAATACAAGAGACTGAGTTCTTCGGTGACCATTCTCAATCACTTCGACACAATATTAATTTTGTAAAATTTTCACCCATGTAAAGAATTTATAAGAAAACGTTGAACTGCATTTCGCTTTCCTTTACAATTTTGTATAGCATTTTCTTTTTTAGCTTATCATGGCAGAGTGCACAGATCTGCATACATAATGCTTAGCCTTTTTTCTCGCTCTAATATCAATGTTTGGAAGAACTTTCTTTGACTGATTTGCGTGTTTTGAGTTAATCGCTTTTTTCAAAATCTTAATTACATATGTTTCTAAGTATAGGGTAGACTATTCGAGCACTTTTAAGGAAATGTTTTTTTTTGTTGTTTTTCTTTTTTATTATTTAAATATACAGACACATGCGTGCGTGCGTCTAACTAGATTTATTGCTGAGCATTTCGTTTTTTTTTGTTTTTGTTATAATAATTTTTTTTAATTAGTTTTTACAAAACATGCTTACATGTGTATATGGAAAAACTAAGCAGGCATTTTTTTGTTTTTATAATTATAATTACAATTCTTCTCATTACAGGCAATTGAATAAGATTAATTAGACATACATAAGTCCAGCTTTCGCACGATATGTTGCAGTATAGCATTTTCAAACTGTATGTGGATTTTTACATAGTATAATCATAGTTTTACATTAACATTAATTTCTTCTAGCATTAGAATTTTTCTCTCATAATCCATTAAAGTAACAAAATAATAAACGATTGTTTAATACAATACAAAATTTAAGCATAAGTTATAAATTATATCACAACAATAAAGACAACTGCGTTTTGTGCGCGCGTGCGATCAAGAAGTTACCATAATAATCATCATACACAGGACATAAAAAACGCATACATAAATGATCGACAAGCTCTCTAAATTACCAAACAAACATTCATAAGTTACGCTTATTTTCGTTATTACACTACAGCTGACTTCTCGTGAGTCATACATTTGTATATGAGTAAGTATTTTTTTAGAAGTTAGAAACACGCGTCACAACAGCCATTCCTTTACAATTCACTTTTCTGTTCGTCTATCCACTACTGTTGTCTGCATGCAAACCATCCGGCATTTCGGCGCTGAGCAGGACCCCAAATAACCGCCCTCCATCGCTACGTCATTACTAAATCAGCACAGCACTTGCAACTTCATGCTGATGTGAGGCCTTCTACCTATTAACAACAGTCTTTTGTTTGCTCCTCCCCTCTATTTCTCCTCAAAGGATGCTGGCTAACAGTTACGCGCTCTCATTTGCCATAGAGTGTAGCAACTCTGCGGCGCATGCAACAGATATGACGGCAGCGGCAGTGGTAACGGCCACAATAGCGACGATTACGTTGACGACTTTGGCGACGTTGACGGTGGCGGTATCGGCGGCAGGATAAACACTGTTTCTTCTCCTCGCTTTTGCGGTGGCGAGGCTCACTGAGATCCATCATTTGGATTGTCAACATTGCTATGCCCGCCACACAATACTAACTTTTGCTAAGTGCCTTCTTTTTTCTTTGTACCAATATATCGTAGAATGGATTGTGACTAATGGACTGTGTCAGGCGTTTAATCCATTCTTGTTGATCCTCTTCGGTTGCCGCAGACATACGGTAAACAGTATGTTTACCTTCCACAACCTGTAGATTTAAAGAAATCAGTATATGGTGAGGTAATTAAGATATATGTAAGTGATGTTGCTTACCTTTCCTTCGGAGTCAGTCTTACATGCTTTGATAATATCAGCGCCACCGGTAGCAAACAATTCAAAACAATGAGGTTTGCTGCGATCGTGTATCTCACGTACCTGTAAGATAATGCATATTAGTAATGCAAACTTTAATTGAGGTAGTAGCTTTTATTTTACTTACACATATATTTTCCAGCGGTATAATCCCTCTGGGCTCTTTATCCGTGGTGTACTCGAAGTAGTACAGACAATTATCGTTCAATATGAACCAGCGTCGTTTCCAGGATTTATAACTGTAACATCAAAAAATTATCAATCATTTGACCTTTCTGAAATAGTTTGGCTTATGAGTTATTCTTATGTGCTAACATAGCTGATGCTCCACTTAAGTAGTATTCTTATGTGCTATTTGTAGTGGATTTATTAAATAAATTGTTTTTTGTATATCTTTGTGATACACTTGTTTTAATCTATTCTTTTTGCGTTTTTTTTTTGTTTTTGATTTTTTACTTTTTTACTTTTCTGTTTTGATTTTTTATTGTTTAATTTTTTATATTTTGTTATTTTACTTTTTTATTTTTCAAATTTTTTTATCGTTATTTTTTACTCTTTTGTTTGCTATTTTTTTTAGTTTTTTTGGTCTTATACTTAATTAAAGCAGCTCACTTTTCCCTATATTTAAACTTAATTAAGAAATAAAAACTCCGAATTATTTCTTAAAAATAAATAGTGTTTTGTCTTAGAGTTCGAGAGTCTCTAACAGTGTTTTCCAGCTTTTTTCTTTTCTTTGTTCTAGTCAAATAGTTCGGTCTAGATGGCAAACAAAATTTGTTAAGCGCAACCTCACTCAAAAATGATGCAGACGTTCCGATAGCGCGTTCGATTTTCTGATATAACCTCGAAAGCATGTGTGTTAAGCAAAATTCGGTTTTACAAAGTTATGACAGGAGAAGACTAAGGGCCGCCTAATCGGAACGACCAAGATTTCTATCTGGCCAAAGACTTAGAATTCAGAAGCATTCTCCATAACTCGTTGGGGAATTTTCATGCTGTTACAACAAGAAATAGCAACAACATGCCTTTAAGGAGGGCTCACTGTAAGCAGAGTTGCGCTCGCTAGTATGCTGTTGCCTGTCGTATGGAAAAACATTTGGTGCTACCATATTTTACCAAGTCTTTGTCTAGCCTCTTGAGGGGCTGTTTTAAATGCCTGAGCAGGCATCTAAATTTGGGCATGCAGTTTGGTGAACGAACGCTGACAGCCTTCTCCAAAATTCGATGGGAATTTATTAAGACAATAACAACGGTAATAGAAAGGGCCGTCTCTACCAACGCTACTTGAACGATATTATTTAGTACCCTTGACACTTACATAGTCTCTTACTTGCACCGGAATGCATCTGAAGATGAAGATGAACAATTGTCAGAAGCGATCAGATACAGATAACAGATAAATTAATAACCAGAGTTAATAAGAGACATAGAACGTTTTGCAGTATCACCGACAATATGTGGTTACAACCCGAGTACTTTACGGAAATATTAAGAAATTATTATGCTACTTATTAGCGTCATAAGTAAATTAGATTCAATCAGTGAAACGTGTTGAAATTTTTTTTTTTTATATCGAATTGCGGACTGTATTGTGGACGTGTATGCATTATGTCTTGTCTCGTCTCGTTCGATTCTTTTTTATGGAAAAATAACCAATTATATAATTTCACAAATTATGGAAAATTAGAACAGCAACAAATTTAAATTTAAACTACACTACTACTTCATTTAATCTACTAATTAATAACAATGAAAGACTTACCGTCCACCCTGCTTCCATAACCAGCCCTCTTTGTCTGGATTGAAGAATGTATGCATTAAATCATTACCATCATCTTGTGGTATTTTAAACGGTTCTGTTCGTATTGATTCGTAGAGGGATTCTAGTAGGCCGCGGGGTAGATCACCGCCGTTGTTAATGCCACGATTCATCGAAATGAACTGCTCAACGGTGGGCTTGTCTTTCACCTGAAATTAAAAATAATTGATTGTTTGTTATAAAAAAAAATAAATAAATAAAAAAAAATAAAATAAAATAAAATAAAATAAAATAAAATAAAATAAAATAAAATAAAATAAAATAAAACAAAATAAAATAAAATAAAATAAAATAAATAGTCGGCCGCTATGGTGTAGTGAAGTCGGCCGCTGTGGTGTAGTGGTAAGCAGTGCGCGCTTCCACTCCACAATGCCTGGGTTCAAACCCTCGGCATATGTGTAAGCGCCAATCTATTATTATTATTAATATAAATACTATAACGTCGCACCTATGCCAGAAACATGAATGTGTAAAAATTAAAATTTTTTGGGAAATCAAGTTTGAAGTTTTTTTTTTACGAAACTTAACTCTACATTTATGCAATTGAAATTGCAAAATATGTGGTTTGTGTGTACGCATAGTATTCTAAGTTTCAGTATGACATAGAACATCTAAAGGTTAATCAAGTCAACCCAATAAGTCAAAACAGATAAATTTGCACAATATGAAATTTACTAGTTCTGGATTAGTTGGAAGTTTAAAGTAATTATTCCACCGTAGCACGGCAGTCTTATGAGACGTATGTAAAACTCTTCGCATGTGGTAAAAAATCCTACATATATTTTACGACATCTGTTTCGAGCATAGTGAACAACACCGAGGTAATATCAAATAGGTGTTTCTAATAGGTACAGATTTAAAGTTCTTACTGGCTTGCGCAAACTTATATTTCATACTAACTTTTGCCCCCGGCTTCGCCCTTGTTAAGTTCGGTTTAACGTGAATATTTCAAATGTAACAAAACAAAAAATAAAAAATAAGACGTTAAAAAAAATTTAATGAGGCGTATTCTTGTTTTCCTACAAATCGAAAATTTGAAATTTTTTGTGTAGAAAATGATAGAAAAATTTCATGATTTTCGATTCGTACGAAAACCAGAATAGGGCCCAATATATCACGTTTCGATAAATGGACTATAAAGTCGAAAATAATTTTCTCTAGACCCACAAAATTTCTTTCGATGTTTTGATTAGAAAATTTTAGCAAAAGTCAATATAAACATTGGGATTTAAAATGAAAAACGTAATATACATACATATGTATGTATGTGGGCAAATGACCTCATCACACTTTTAACAAATTGACTAAATCGAACGCTTAAAACATATCCCAAATTTGTATTTGCGCAGTAGAAGTTGTCGGTCTATGTTATGTAGTTTGAATATTGAGTGAATATCTATAGCACTTCAATACTATTGCATTCGCCTCTAGTTTTTCATTTTAATTCTCCTTCTTAAACATCTTTTGTTTGACATGACAATCATTTTGTAAGGTTTCATTTTATTTATAAATAAAAGTTAATTTGACTTTTTAACAGGTGGCAACCTCCTTTAAAACTATAAAGCCGTTAAAACCATGATAAAAATATAGTAAGGTAGAACCGCTGAGAGTTACTTTTAAAATTCTTGACGTTTCCAAACATTTTAAATTTTTAAATTTACTCACAAACTCACACACATTTTCATTTTCAATCTCAACCCTGCAAACCATTTTTTAAGAGTATTCTGAAGCGTAAAGAAATTTTAAAGAATTCGGAAAGATCCCATCCGATTTTTTGCCGAATTTTCTAAAATGAAATAAATTACGCACACTTCCATTCTTTTACGAAATTTCGGAAGAAAATCGGTAAAGAAATGAAAATAATGCTGCTACGTGAAGAATTTCTTGCAGACTTTTTTCAGAATTTTCTTTATTTTTCGTACAGAAATTTCTTTACGAGTTCGTGTCAACCACTTCATATAATTTTCTTTGAAGATTCGGAAAAAAATCGTTACAGAAATCAGATACTCCTAAAGATTTCGTTAAGATTTCGGAAACTTTGGTTTGCAGGGAAGCAACAACAATTTCGAACAATTTCAATTTTTTATTTTCAATTTTAAAATGCCGGCAAACTTCAAAAAAAAAATCATGGCCGACAAAATGAGAGAACGGTTCTTCCTTGCTATGTTTTTATTATGGTTAAAACTACATACATATGTATGTTAATACTGAAAACTTGGAACTCATAGTTGTATTTTTCAAATTTATTTTTCTATGCAAGACAACAATAAAATGTTTATACGCTTGTAAAATTTTACGATCTTAAGGCTTAATTTATAGGACTTGACTTTTAAACAGGTGGCAAACTTCTTCAAAATATTTTCAAAATAAATTTTACAAAACCTCATTCGTTTGCCACCCATATTGCAATAATTCATCCTACATAAAATGAATTTGACTTTTTGAATAGGTGGAAATCCTCTTAAGAATGTTTTCAAAATAAAGCTTCTTTAAATCTGTTCGTTTAGCATCTATATTGTAAAATTTCGATGAACTTATAATTTTAAGTAAAATTTCTTCATTTCTTTAAAACATTATGCAAAATTAATCCAGATAATCTATACCACATTTTTTACAAAGAAATACCAACAAACACTCTTTCTAACGAACTTTCGCTTTTATAATATTAGTAGGATTTCCTTTAGCTTGTCGATTAAGTTCTTAAACTGGTAGCAACCCTCGCCAAAACTATTTCAGAAATAGATACAGCATTTGTAAAACCTCTCTCGTTTGATATCCATATTATAATATTTAGTTTAACTTCTTATTTAAATAGATTTTAAATTTTTAGACAATATTTTTGGAATCCACTGATATCCATTTTAAAATATTTCGTTTAGCTTGTTAACTAAATTCATTTTCACTTTTTTAAATGGTTGCAACAATTTGAAAAAAATACACATTTTCAAAATAAATCGTTGATGAGATGAAACCTCACCATATTTCTGAAAGCTTGTAAAACCAATTTTGAATTGCACGACCCACTCCGTTGCTTATGCCAGGATTTTAACTCTCATTCCAGCACGTTTTCAGCATTAAGAAAGCGATACTCTCCTCTCTCAATAAGTGAATTATTGACATAAATACATAATATCAGCTGATGAATTTAGTTCTGTAGCTGAACAGTTTTAGATCTCGACACTTAACAAACTCCTGCCTATCGTGACTCGGCACAAAAATTTAAAATATTGGTTCCGTACGTCATGCGGACTGCGCCCCTCGTGCGGATGGGCGGGAATGGAGGGGTAAAAAGCGTTGGGATATTATTATAGTCGATGATACTGCAAAACGTTCTATGTCACTTATTACCTCTAGTGCTTAACTGATCTGTTATCTGTATCTGATCGCTTCTGGCAATCGTTCATCTTCTTCAGCCAAAGGTGCAAGTAAGAGACCATCTAAATGTCAAGGGTTCTAATAGACATAGACCGTTTTGCAGTATCACCGATGGTATATAATTGTTTTTATTATAAAGAAAGCTGCTGTAAGCTTGAACTAGCGTAAGCCTTGCTGAGATCACTTTCGTCAATATTGCGAATAAGGCTACTGCTAAATGCAAGCGAAATTGTTGGACTAATCAAAGCTATGGGCGAGCATGTTTAGGAAGATCATCATTTGTTTTTTTTCTTTTTCGTTCATTTTTTGTGAAAAGATATTGGAAATTAAGTAGAAATGTAGGTCACTAACCTTTTACTGTGCCAAAGAGATATGTATATGCGCACATATGTACATTTGTACCTAAATAAGCGAGTACATATAAAATTGTATAGTCATTTTTAATTGCTACATATGGAAAAGCTTCAAATCTAATCAAAACAGCTGCGAAAGTGCAACAATGAACGCCACACTTACAGATACAAACAAATTAAATGAAATGTAAAAAAAAAAATTGTTTAAATCGTTCTTGACCTATTTTTAGAATTAAGTAATTATTCAAAACAAATGAGATCACCAGACGTCTAATATTCGAGCAAATACAGTCGGAGCATTTACATAGAGTGGCAAAAAAAAAAAATAAAATCGACGCGTAAACTAAACGGGCGTATGTGGGTGGAGAGATGAATGCAAAAGGCGGTTAGTAAGGCTTTTGTGCGGATCATTAGCAAAAGCCTAACGCATTCAGATGTAATTGGATTTGCAAAGTGTTTGAAGAGAATAACTAGCTTTAATGAATATCCAAAAAAAGAAACAGCATTTGATAGCGAACATTGACAGGCACCTGCTAGCCGAATGCTTGCCAAATGCCAAAACGCCATGAAAATGCATCATGAGTTGATATGTGCAAATCGCTAAAAGATCGGCACATTACTTAGATAGCTAGGGTGGCCAGTCCCCCCTGCCAATGGCCGTCAAACACTGAGCTATAAATACAAAATTTCGACACGCGCATTATGTGATCGGAAGCGTGCTCAATAGAAAACAACACATATTCATTGAACTGTTAAGTACTTTTAGACGTTGTGCTGCATTTTGCTTTCAATAGCATCTTTTGGTGGATTTTTTTTTTTGCTAAATTTAGTTTAAATAATTTCCGCTGGCAGCAGAGAATTCATGAATGCAAATACGTTACTTGCTTGCAGTAACTCACCGATGGATTGTGCAGTGATGTATTGAGCATAATTATGGCGAAACTTAGCACATAACACGTATCGGTGTTAGTAAATATATCCGGATTGAGTTGGCAGTAGCGCTGTGCGAAACATTCCATCATACGATCAATTTTCTGCGCCTCTCCCGGAAGCCGAAATGACCAGAGGAATTGTCTTAAAGCTTGCACCAATATTAGATTCGTAAAATCGTGTAACGCCACAAATGCCTTGAGTACATCCTCATTGAAGTCGTTCTTTTCGCCTAAGTAGTCGCCTGTTAATAGAAGTGCGTGTTACTTAGTAAATGCTGATTTTCTTCAAAATTCGTATTTCATTTTACTCACCAATTGCAGTTTTGTTGAGGCCTTCTCCTTTATACAGGAAATGCGCAACATCTTGTGCGTCGTGTCGAAGCAGGCGATTTTCTACTAAATATTCAATACCTGAAAGTTGAAAGAAAAAGTTGTTTTTAAAATAATTATAAGATATGGAGTAAGTTAATAGGTGTAGTAGAGTGGATTTAGAATTTATTTGGCGATTTGAAATAAATTTTAAATGGGTTTTTAAAAAAATGGTGCAGCATTGTTTTGGGGCTTGCAGGTATCCACTGAGAATGAGGATAGAATTTATAGTTGAGTTAAAGTTCTTTGGACTGAATTTTTACCCACTCTGTTTAATCAACTTTAGGAGAGATGTTACTTGTATACGAGCGGGTTAGATACGAGTACAATGCTGTAAAAAACAGAAAATCAGGTCTATGCATACATTTAGATTGATATTTGCCCTTTGTGAATACCTTCCAGGAGTGCCAGGAGGAAGTAGCTAAATTTTTTCAGAATATCATATTACAGATCAAATAGAGGAAGCCCGATAATTCTACTTGTGAGGTGTCGGCAAGATACCAGGTAATCTGATCGATTTAATCTCAGTAAAGCAAGCATATTCCTAAACACTGCTTCATTCAACTTAATGTGAACCATAAATGGCACCACCAAATTAAAGGAGTGTCTCTGATCGTTTCAGTGATTTGCAGTGCACCGCAAGTTATCCAAAGCACAATAGCTGAAAGCAATCCAAGGGAATAGACATAAAAGCTAAACTAAACCGCTTAAAATGTGATACAGATATAAAAAGGCATACATACAATTGGCATATATTTACATACGTCAACAAGAACTTGGAATTAAGTTGTGTATCACAAGAGAATTGTATGAACAGCATCAATTACGATCTTGATATGTATACCGGCATACGAAAGTATATAAAGGTGTGTCCGTCATGCCATGCGAATAGGCTCAAGAATAAAAATAACAATTTTACGTATGCATAAGGTAATATGTATGTAAATGTGTTCAATGTTCATGGTAAGGCCCTATAGGGAAATGGAACAACGAAGATCATTTGCTGTCGATTAGTGCTGTCGATTAAGATCTCTGTGAATAGGATGTAATGTCTCGAAGGGTAGAAAATGTAAATAAGCTGGATGCACTTCTACGTAGCGAAATTGCATATAAGCCGTACTCTACTATGTAGATAAGTATGGCATCCGCTTCAGACGGCAGCAAAAGCCTTTCAGAGTCTAGAAGCTTTCCAGAAATGCTATCATGGAGCAACACAACACAACACTCAGCGCGCCAGAATTCTCAAGTTCTTTGGTGCTATTAGTATGTACTAAGTCTCAATTCCTTGTCAGACTAACGTCACATTTTTTTCTGAACAAATGGCGATCGCAGCGGACCAACTGGATGAAAAATTCTACATTGTGCTTTATTTAAAATCATATTAAATATTATTATTATTAGATATTAAATGATATATTGATATAAATGATGATTTCATATTTTTCTCAGCTTTAATATTATCGTGTACCATAGTTTTTCATCCAATGTCAGACTTTTTGAGCACTTTAAAAAGGTAAATGTATTCAGTGTTCAATAAAAAACAGTTCAGCAATAAAAAATTGGGTTTCATGATCGTATAAGCTGAAAATTTAAAATAATAATTTCAAGTTCAACATATTTCCTATTAAAAAATCAAAATGATCAACCCGGAACCACTCGGAATTTCCGGACTCGGAAAAAACAAATTTCATATTTATTTTCCTTGCCAACCTCACGTTTTTTTCGTGCGAAAACTTTCGGTTTTTGAAAATCGACCAAAAAAGGCCACTCTAATGTTTTTCTTAAAACTTCCACCAGAGCACGCAACAATGAAAATTTTCACATTTTCTTCGAGAAACCTATTTTCGCAATATGGCAAACCCCAAATTGATTTAAGAGTCATGGTTTCGTCGACAAATTTGCTTAGAACTACACGAAGTATCATTCTGTGCTACAAGCGTATAGTCGAAAAAATCTCACATACAAATTGACCTGCCGTAGTACACATAGTAAAATTTTACAAAGAATAATTTTGTAGAATATTTAATTCATTAGCTGTCTCACAAAAGGGTCGTTTTGGACATTTAAGCCAAGCGAGATTTGCAAGAATGGATGTGTGCGAGTTGAGCTGTCTAAGGTCAGTTGACAGTACAGGACTGAAGTGCGCTCACCAGAAAGATGAGTAAGACGAGCGAGACGAGTGTGACAGCACAGGAAGTGTGTTGGGAGAAGTTGTTCTGGAGTGGCAACAACACAGGAACTAAGGAAGGCGAAGCTTGAGCAAATCGAGCTAGTCGAGAAAGTCGAGCATGTGCAGGTCTGGCAAGTTGAGTAAGTCGGGTGAGTCGGGCAGGTTGAGCAAGACTGACGGGTGAGCATTACACCGGTCTGTTCAATGTGTAGTTGCATTGCAACTGGTTGCCGAACCCATATTATGGCAGAGGTTTAGATGGGCCTCGAAACGTATCAAGGTGGTGTGTCCACCCCACACTGCCAATTGGTACTGAAGTACTTGCATTTTACGGCGCTGATCAAGGCATTTGAATTGATCCGTTGTGCTTCTTGACACTGTGAGGTTGGGTCGTTTTAACGACAGGTACTCACGATAAATATCACACACGGTTGGGCGCAGATCCTGTGCTCACTTTACAAACCAGTTGCTATTGCTTCAGCGATTCCTAAAGGGTACTTTCAGAACACATTTTTTATTGCGAATGATGCAAGTTGCAAATGTATAAAATAAAACAAAAAACAAATCAACTCGCAGCGAAGGTGGAACAATTGTGGAATCGTTGAAATTCTATGCGAACTGACAATGGCAAGCAAAAGGCAATCAAATGCATGAAAAACATTTACATACATACATATGTACATATATGTATATGTATACATGCAAATAGCGCAAGACCACATAATCCAATCCAGCTTTTGGAAGCAGACAACAAAGTAAACAAACAGAGAGATTAGTGGCTATCAGCGTATATAAATACTCGTGCAGAGCAAAAAACAAAAAAAAAAACAAAAAAAAACATGACAGCATACAAATGGATATGTATGAATAAGTAGGTGGGTACATATAGTGGGGAAGTCGGCTGGCGGTGCACAAATTGTACATAAGTACTAGAAAATGAATGAACAGACATGCCGACACAGCCAGTCAAGCATTTGCGGCAATTAAATCAGTGACGAAAGCGCCATGGAGTGGTCTTCCTCCTCCTCCGGCCACTTCCAGCAATACGTAATATGTATGTATGTATGTATGTATGTATTTACAACATGCATGTCGGTGATGGATGGCTGACGCTGGTTATTACGATAATAATAGTTTGGTGACGATTGCGCGAATTGTAAAAGAACAACCGTTACAATCATATCTGTATTTAGCTTATGTTTATATGCTAGTATTTGCAGTTGTTTGCAAATTGTGGCTATGTTGATGAATATATGTTTCGAGTGATTAAGTAGCGTTGAAAAAGAGGTGTGTCATCATTTCATATATACATATATATATTTTAATTTAAGTCGCTTGTAGAAGTGACAGCTGTGTTGTTTCACAGGAAATTCCTTTAGTAAGTATGTAAATAAGAGTAGATAAACATATAGGCGGAATTGTCACAATTTTTGTTTAAACGTAGACTTCATTTGTCATCACAGATTGACACTCAGTAAAGTTGAGCAAAGGGATAAAGATTTATATCGCAGCCAAAAAAAAACTGTGGAACAATTTTAACCCTTTCAAGAACATAAGCCTATACATTATTAAAAAAAAAATCATGATTTTAATTGTAGGTTGTGAATCGTCGAAAAACATCATCGTGCACAGACAAAGCTCAGAAAATGACAACGACTAGCCTGAGCAGGCAACACTGGCGCGACGAGAACAACATTAACCGCGCCTATAGAGGCGCTTCATGACCTGCCTCCTCTAAACAATGTAGTCAATAAAGGGTCTCACTGTTTACAGCAAGGCTCTTCTCAGGCGACAATGAGGAAGACAAGAAACTCATACACGTTTCTACTCTCCGGTTCACAGAAAGAGAGGCAAAACTGCGCATCAGCTTTGTAGACCTGTGCCATCCGGGATTGAATTCCGCACATAATTTTAAGGTCCCCACAGAATCAGCTGGAACAAAGAACGACCTAAACCATCGGGGCAAGTTGAGTATGCCTTTCAGGGCCAGGTGCATGCTACTGAATTTTGTCTGAGGTAGTATGTAAAAACAGGGGCAACCAACAAACACTTCTGCATGCACTCTGACAGCAAAGCGACGCTCCTCGCTCTCGTTGCACACGAGATCACCGCTAAGCTAGTGTGGGACTGCCTGCAAATTTTAATATTTATCGAAACCAGGAACCAGGTTTACATCATTTTTGAGGTACCAGGACACAGTGGAGTCGTCGGCAATGAGGTGACAGATATTCTCGCGAGAAAAAAGGGGCTACACAAGAATTCAAAGGCCCAGAAGCCTTCACTGGACTACCATGGAGCTCCTTAAGGCGAAACTATTATATCTGCATACAAAATGAAGCGCAACATTACTGGACAATTACGGAAGGTAACAAATAGGTTAAGTTCTTCATGCCGGATATGTTAACAAGGAGAATCGTAGCAATACTTCACCTTAGTAGGCATGGAGTAAAAATTGTTGCCAAGTAGAGCCGGAAACAGCAGAACATATTAATAGCCGTCATCGATTCGCCAACAGTTAGTGAATTTCCGCACTCAAGCCTTTCGAATGCAAACAAACTTTAAGTAGTTTATTAAGTCATTGCAGACCCTTATTTTTACGGAGTGACAATTGAAATTAACTTGTCCAACAAATCATTTCTGTCATGCCATATTTAGCATTAAAAATGAACCAAGACAATTCATTTTTTTTTTTTAGTGTTTTGTCATAAATGTTGGCCATCTTTCTCTCCCTCTAATTGCGAAGCGAAATGTCAAGAGGGTGATCGCGCTGTCATCAACAAAATGTTGAGCAAAAATCTGAACATCACAACATTAATGGCAATTTTATCACATTGTATGACGTATGTCACGCCTTGGAGGATGATCGGATGAATTAGCAATGAAATGAACTACATAAGATATGGGGGAAGAAAATAATGGCATGGAAACGATCGCTGGCATATACACTCGCATATATATAGTATAAGTATGTATGTATGTATGGCATACATATATGTATGTATGTACATAAGTGTGTTCATGCTCATGTACTCCTGTAAATTTGGTGTGGGGACTTCGCACAGCAATAAACTAAATAAATGCGCATAAAAGCACTCACTTTAAATGCATACGATTATATCGACTGACAAATTTGACAGTTCGTTGACATTTTGAAGGGTTTGGCGCACATAACTCGAATGCCATGCAACAGCCTACAAACTACATCCATACATATGTATACACATATGGGCTCAAGCGGTATGTGCGGCTAATTAATTGAATTAAATTTAAGTAAGTGAAAAACGAGGAGAAAGGTTGAAGGAAAAACAAACGAAAATGACAGGAATTTCAAATTCAAACAGCCTGATACATGCATGTAGTAGGTACATAGCACATATGTACGCATATTTATGTGCGCGGCAGAGGCGCGAATGACACGCCTTAATCAAACGTGCATGCAGAGTAGATTGCAAGCAGTTTTCTTAGTGCGAGTGACGCAAATTATTTGATACTTGTAATTAGTGTAAAAGGGTGAAACCGGTAGATGCTAATGAAATATGGAAAATTCTAAAGAATCAAAGTGAATTGCTCATTACAATATATATATTTCCATAAAGATGCAAGCACCAGTTTTTTTTGTTTATAAAAAATAGCTTCGTAACTAAAAGTGAATCATTTTGAACTTAAAAGATTAAAAATAGATTCGCACTTTGTAAATATTTATAAAAAAAGAGAAATTTTGCATTAAAGCAATGACGTCTTTCAAGCCCGGATGAAAATAATTAATTTGTATACACTTATTCACAAAGTATAAATAAAGCATAAAAATTAGGACTGTACGATCTAACCGGATTTTTTTGGCTATCCGGATATTCGAATATCTGACTGAAAAATTCAAACATCCGGATATCCGGTTAATTTCCGTGCATATCTGGATATACGGATTCTTTAAGCGGATATTCGAATATCCGGATTATTCGGATATTAAAAAAAAAAAACAGTTGATATGCGTATAACTAAATGAATGCAGGGAAAATTTCTTTATGTTTGAGAACTAGTGCTAAGAATTCGAACGGGGTATTTTGACTATCCGGATATTTGAATATCTGATTGAAAAATTTGAACATCCGGATATCCAGTTGATTTCCGTTCATATCCCGATATTCGGATTCTTCAATCGGATATTCGAATATCCGCATAGTAAAAACATCCGGTTTAAACAAGCTTACGCTGAATCCGGATATTAACCGGATATCCGGATTTTATCCGTACACACGAATATAAGAAAGGTTATCCGAATATCCGCATATACGGAGAATTCCATCCCTAATAAAAATGTTCTAAATTAAAAACAGTTTCGATCACCAAACTCGCGAAAAATCAGGATAGAGAAATCTTCAAACAACTTAACATGAACTAGTTTCAAAATTAATTAAAAAGAAGTGATTAAAAAATGTAATTTTTAAGCAAAAAACAAAACCGACTTCAATTCTGATATAAAAATTTAAGAATACCGTTAATTTCTTCATGATCCAATGATCGGATCTAAACAAAATTAGTATGGGACCATCTCTGCGGTACCACCCTTCCAATAAAAAAACGGTTTATCGAAAACAGTTCGGGAAGACGTGTGGTACGCTTATTAAACGATGATTTATTCTCAGTAAGTACTCAACACTGTTATGTCCGATTTTATATTACGATTCCCATGTCTGGTGGATAGCTTTTCAGAACCAGTATAACCATGTAGAACTAGAAAGAGTTTAGAGGGTCGCAGATGTCGGGACTATGGTGGTGATTTGTCCTCAATGTAATTAGAAACGTAATTTCCATAAACCCTCATATAATGTACAAAGCTTCAGTGTTTGCTGTAAGATTTCTCGTTTACCATCCCAGATTGGACAGAGTACCAATTATAAACGCCCCGAAATGGAATTCGGCAGGCTACTCGAGGTCTTTCTATAGTGGCAAGCCGCGGCCTGGACGGGAAACTTTATTCCTCCGCCTGAGAGCATCAGCTGTAATGACAACAAAATTGAACGCGGAGTTGGGGCAGGCGTTTTCTCTGAGTTCTAAGAGATAAGAAAATCAATCCAGCTGCCTGACTTTGCAAACGCTTTTCTAGCAGAAATATTTGGTACCGCTATAGGGTGTCGACTTTTAAAAAGCTAAAGGTTAACGCAACCCTTTAGAGGTGTGGTTTGCCATGTTCTCGGACAGCGGTCTTGGTTAAGTATCTAGGAAGTTAAGGTCAAATTGTTACAGAGGTAAGTAAGAGGATAGATAATATCTCAGTGATGCAAACGACTATAAAGAGACTATATAAAACTCTTCTAAACTTTTCACAATTTTTAAAAATATTTACTGCTACTTACAAGTCTGTTTGGCAATTATTTTGCATAGAACTTTTTCTTTAACTTACTTTGTTTGTGTTTTACTAATAAAAAAAAATTAATACAAATTTAATCATTTCATTTTATTTACCTTTCTTTGGATCCATATTGAACTTTTTCCGCCCAATGGACATTTGTTTCTCTTTATTGGAATGTTTACTATCTTCGGGCACGTCCAGCGCCTCCATTTCCGATACCACCTCACCAAGTTCATCTTTGATTTGCTGTAAATAAGAAAAAACGTAATACGAAAACGTTTATTATTGCATCGGCGAAATACAAAGGATGGTTTGGGCGAATGTAAAATAAATTGAAATTACAAAAGTGGCGAATTGCATTTCCTTTCGCCAATGCATGTACCTCAAGTAAACTGTATACTTGTAAGTGGTATTATTTTGGAGAATGCCTGTCAATTAAATTTGCATTTTTATGTAAATCTGTATGTACGCTAAAGCGGAAGAGGAAGAAGAAATTTCTGGCAAATGAAACGAAGACTGTCGTTGAATTTTAAAAATAGCAAATGTACGGAATACTAAATTGACATTTTAAGTAAACAGAAATGCGAGTGTCGCCAGCAACGCAAATAACGAATGCACTTCATTTTGCAGTTAACAAGCAGAGAGGGAGATACGCTCGCCTTTAATGGGTATTAAATGAGGTGGAGCATGAGGGTCCCTCTTAAAGTTTATACTAATTGGCATGGAATAACGGAAGAGATTTTTTTATTGATATAGGCAAAAAATTATTTTGCAAAATTTTCGTGTACTTCTTTTTATTGTACTAACTTCTAATTAAGTAATTTTTAAGCAAAAAACAAAAGCGACTTAAATTCTCATAAACAAATTTAAGAGTACCGTTAATTTATTCATGTTCCAATGATCGAATTATAGAAATCGGTTAACGTGGTCCAATGTTATGCGGTACATACAAAAATATTCCGACAAATTCTTAGCCTCCTCCTTTTTTTTTGATCTCGATTAAAAACATCGATTAAAAGCATAGCAAATTTTTTGTTGTAAAATTATACATATTTTTAATGATGGTTTTTATTTTAATTATTTGTATCCATTTTCATTTATTTTTACTATGTCTATTTATTTTTATTTTTTATATTCAGTTTTGTTTTTGTTATTTCTATTTATTTGTATTATTTTTATGTAACACCGTAGCGGCCATTTCAGCGATTTTCTAACAGTTAATCTTTGAAAAAAGTATTACTTAGCTTTTTACTTTTATTTTTATCTATCATTTCAGATTGCCTATTATTTTAATTTTTTGTTATTTTTATTATTTGTAATATTCTTTTTTTATTTAAGGCACTAGCTGCCATTTAAGCGATTTCTTTAACCGCTAACTTTTGAAAAAACGTTTTTAGTACTTTTAATATTATTTAAGTTTTTCTAATATATTTATATTTATTTTTTTAGTTTTGTTGCATTTATTTTATTCTTGTTCATTACTTTTATCCATTTTTTCATTAATTTTATCTATTTATTTCAATAATTTTATTTATCATTTTCCATAATTTTTTATTATTTTTTTTCTTTACATATTTTTATTGGTATTTCTTATATTTTACGTTTCCATTATTTTTTTGTTATTTGTATTTATTTATGTTTTTATTGCATATTTTTATATATGTATATATGTATAATTTTTTTGATTTTATATTTTTTCAGTTATTTCTTTTAAATTAAATAAATTAACATTATTTTTTCCTTTTATAATATGTATGTATGTACATACACTATCTGATTAAGGTCATATGTATATATTTTTTTTTTTATTTCGCGAATTTCTTTAATATTTTATTTTTAAATTTATTTAATACTTTTTAGTTTTTCATTTCTTAGATGTTTTCTTTTTTATTTTTAATTTCTGCATTATTCCTTTCATCTCTGCAATATTTTTAATTTGTTTTCGTACTTCGGTATTTTTTATTTAGATTTTTTAAATACCTAATATTTTTAAAATTTTTTAATGCTTTTTAAATTTTTTTAATATTTTTAAATTTTCATGTTTCATTCAAAATTTTTTTATAATTTTGTTTTTTTTTAATGTTTTTGCTTTTTTTTAATATTTTTTTGATTTTTTAATATTTCTTATTTTTTTAAATATATTCTTATATATATGTATATTTTTATTTCTTTTAATATATTTTTTTAGATTTTTGTACATTTTTATGTTTTTTTAGAAGAGGTTTTAGTTTTTTATTAGTTTTTTCTTGTATACTTTATTTTTATTATATTTTTTTAGATTTTTCGTTGTTGTTTTATTGTTTTTTCCCCATTTTTGTTATTATGTATCTTTTTTAATTTAATTAAAAATTTTTTAAAGTAGATATATATTTTTAACTTTTGTTATTTCTTATTGCATTTACTTTTTTGTAGGATTTGTTAGATGTATGTATAACTATAAAAAATATTAATTTTCTACAAACAATTATAAAAAAATAAGTAAATCACAAACCGTGCTTATGAGTAAAGGGAACCATTAAGAAACATGTGCTCTTTGGTCTTCAAATAACTTTGAAAATTTCCAAGCCTTGAAGAGGCAAACGATTAGCGTACCTATGTATATGAACATAGTTGAAAAATATAAAAAAATTTAAGACTACCCTCGTACTGGTTATTTATTTTGTGGTTTTCATTACATATCTCATTTGCGTAGGATTTCACAAACGTGCGTATCAAAGAGCGACTACAGCAGCATTCTAAATTAGTTCATTTCCATGAGGAAATTGAATCTTACACTTTCTACAAAAAATGTAGCGCGCCAAAAATACAGTATTTACGCATAAGAAAATAAAAAAACAAAAAGTGTGAAACAAACAATTTCTTATTTATGTAACTATGTATATGCACATACAAAACGCGAATTGCGTATAGTAAAAATATGATAAGCAAGCGTCGAAGAAATATTAAAACAATTCCAACATACAACAAATAAAGACAGATAATACGAACGGCTACTAAGTACACTGATAACATTGATGTGACACTTGAATAGGTCAGACGCTGTCACTTTAACGCGGTAATTTACCAATTTGCGAGTAGCTGAGACATTTCGTTCATATTTTTGCATAATTTTTTGTTATTTTTTATAACAATTTGAGCATTTATTTCACACAAATTTACAATTTCACCTCGTTCATAACCTCAACATAATGACAGTTGAAGGTATCGATGAATGCAGCGATGACAAAGCAATGCACACAATTCAGCGTTAAAGTATATGTATACGAGTATATACATACATACATATGTACAATGAATTTGTATGAGAAAATTCACAACAATGTACATATATGTATATTTTTATCACTATGAGTGTGCTAAAATTAATGGAATGACAGCACCGCGTCATATCAAGACAAAATGCAACTATGTGCGCATTTCCTCTCGCTTCTTATTTGCATTTTATTTGTTGAGAGTGTTTCTTATTGCACAAACAAATAAGTATGTATGTATGTATACATATATAATCAGATGTAAACGTTTAATTAATTTTTCCGCTCAGCTGTAATTGTACGATTTGAAGTATATTATCATAATCGCCTTCATTGCATCCATAATTATTCATAGCCAATTTCGCATGATAATTTAATTATTGCAGCATCTGAGTACACTCAAGTACTGATTGCGTCTACAAGGTGCTGCTATGTTGGGTCCATTGACTTCCAGATGCTGTAAGATTGCGCAATGTACAGTGGAGGTAAGGAAATTGATGAACAATTTCAGAATTTGAGAAAATTTTAATAATTGTAAAAAGATGAGAGTGGCGGCCTCTGGAGCAGAGGTGCAAGTAAATTTTCTGCGGATGGGTCGAAGTCCGGCTGTCGATCGAATTGGAGGAAGTGTGTTCTGTAAGGAACTCTCCGTAAATTTTATATTTAGGTTGACGGATTCTCGCAGCTTACGTCAGGCAAATATGACCGCTTCCTTATACATTCAACCAACTGGAAGAGTAAATATCTACTCGGACAGCCAGTTGGCAAACAGGGCTCAAGGTTGAACCATGGTACGATTGAAACCGCTCGGGAAATGTCTGACCTCTCTTCCGCCGATCGCCTCGGTTTACTCTAAAATCAAGGTAAATTTAAGTCTCAGAGCATAGTGCCATTGTGGAAAACTGCATGGCTGATGAATTGGATATTCTCATCTCTTCCTTAATCGAGAGTATAGGCAACCTGTATATTGATTCTGCAGAAATAGGCTTATAGTCAAATCAATGAATGCAGAGCGAAAAACCCCTGAGATGCCAAGTTGCAAAGATTTACTGGCCGATAGACGGCCGCAGACGGCCTAAGGAGCTTTTTACCTCACACAGTTGTCCCTAACAGGGCTTTTTCGATTAGGAACATCTTCGAACTGAGGGGTTTAGATAGAAGTCTAACATCAATGGAAGTTGTATGTCATTGGACCTAAGTAACCCTTCCTGATTAGAGTGCGTCTTTGTATACAAACTCGATTACTTGACACATACCTCCAATATTAGAGCGAGTATCCCTAAACGTTGAGTATTGAACTTTTACCAGAATTGTAAACTGGAAATTGAAATTGAAATTGATTTAACACCGAGTTTCCAGATATTAAAAGGAGACCTCTCTCGTTTGATCTTTAGCGTTGGAGAAAAAATATGTAGGTTTTAGCTAAGTTTACTTGATGTGTACCTATATTCGCTCAAGTTGGAAATGATATGTAGGCCATTCAAATAAGGTGGACTTATTTTAATGATAATTTACTGTATGTGTTCACGCTTGAAGCTGTGATGATCTCACCATATTTATCGTAAAAAGGTGACGACTAATGTATTTATATTGTACTTCGATGACAAAGGAATTCTAAATATGCTTCAAAAAAAAAAAACTACATACGAGTTGAGTTGGGGGAATACAACGAGAATAAAAATACCTACAAACATATAAACATGCAAATTATGTGAGAAAAACCCCGCAATATAATAATATTTATAAATAAGCGATTTGTATTGTTCAAGGAATTTAAGAGAAAATATATCAATTTAAGTGGTTAACTTTTGAAAGCCGTCTACTGCGAATTTCGTAGTGAAGTGATTTCAGTTTTAAAAGTAAACAAAAACAAAAATATATATTTAAATAATTAAAAAGTGAATTCCAAATTAAAAATGTTAGAATGTAAAGCAAAAACTGAAATAAAACGTAAAATTTAACAAAAGCAAATTAATTTGCAGAGCAAAAATTATTTTCCGTAGCAAAATTTAAATTGTTTGTAAAAATTATTTTACTTTTAAAATGTAAAAATTTTAGTCAAATGGACCTCGGATTCGGATACGGCGGGTCCAAAAAAAGTCGGTAGGTGTGTCTGGTTAAAAGAACATACTCCTTTTTTGTGTTCCGATGAAATTTAAGATTGCGAATAAATAACCCAAAAACATGAAAAAAAAATAAATTTTCAACAAAAATTTTAATAAAGGCTTACTCGGAATTGGTATTTTTTTATTTTTTTATAAAAATAATGTTTTTTGACTATAAAAATACAAATTAAACTTTGCAAAAAATCACAAGTCTCCAATTGTGTTAACATACATATGTATGCATGTTTTACCAAAATTTAATACAAAGAATATATTTTTTTGCAGAACAAAATTTATTTTCATCAAAACATTTCAATTTTTTTTTTAAATTAGATGAATTTCGGAACTTAAAATGTACATATTTCAGTGTCAAAAAAATTTAATCGCTTTTTATATAAAAAACATTTTGAAAAAATAAAAATAAATCGATAATTGCAAAAAATAACACAGATTTAAGCAAATTTCGTATTTTTGGTTCAAAAAAAGTTAAATTTTCAAAACAAATTTATTATTATTAATTAATTTCATTTCTTTACTTAAATATGATTAGCTTTGCAAAAACCAAACAAAATATATAAAAATTTACGAATGTTACATATTTAACAAAATTCAATAAAAATTAAATACTTATATTTGCGCAATGACAATAATTTTCAGTAAAAAATATATATATATATTTTTCACAAAACGTACTTTACTTTTGGTATATAAATATTAATTTCAATGAAAACAATTTTTATTTTTAATAAGAAAAAACAGTTTACATGTAAACTGTTAATTAAGCATTGCAAAAAATATGACAGATTTAAGACAATTTCGTCTTGATTGTTTTCAACTAAAAAATTTTATTTTCCAAGCATAAATTATTTTTACTAAAAAGTTTTTTTTTCGCTCAATATTTAGTTGTTTTTCTTCGAAAAAAATATTTGTTGTAAATGTTTTCTTTTTTTAATGTAAGCTAAACAAATTAAAAGTTTTTACATTTTTCTCAACATACTGAAACATTTAAATTTTTGAGTTGAGTTTTTCAATTAAAAATAATTATTTTTTTATTTATGTTCGATTATATTTCTTTTGACAAAAATTAATTTATAGCATTTTTTATCACAAATTTATTTTTATACCACTTGTGCACAAGGGTATATTAATTTTGTTCACATAACGGTTGTTTGTAACAGCCAAAACGGATCGAGATAGATATAGACAAATGTATACATAAATGCACAGAATGAATAGAGAAATCGATTAAGCCATGTCTGTCTGTCCGTCTGTCCGTCCGTCCGTGTACACGATAACTCGAGCAAAAATTGTGATATCTCAACGAAATTTGGTATGTAAGTTTCCGTTAATCCAAGGTAGGTTGGTATTGAAAATGGGCGAAATCAACCTGTAACCACGCCCACTTCCCATATAACGGTAATTTCCAGAAATACGAAAACTGCCATATTTTAGTAACTACTGAAGTATATTCACTCAAAATTGATATTTACAACAATTTTTAGACGAAAAATAAGAATATTAAAAATTTTTGGAAAATGGGCGTAGCCACGCCCACTTATGGTTACATGTGTATATCTTGGTAACCGCTGCACCAATTTCTTCCAAACTTGGCACAGTTGTTGGCCTTGGTGCAGCATACTAAATGGCCAAAAATTTAAAAAATCGGACAATAACCACGCCCACATCCCATATAAGGGTAATTTAGAGAAATACAAAATCTTCGATAAATCAGTAAATATTAAAGCTAATTTATTCAAAATTTATGCTTGCAACAATTCTTTACCAAGAAATACGTTTATGGTAAAATTTTGGAAAATGGGCGTGGCAGCGCCCACTTATGATCACATATATGTATATCGGTAACCGTTCTACCAATTTGTACCAAACTCGGTTTTTTTTATTGTGCTTGCCACATAAAAGCAAAACGTTGAAAATTATTGAAATCGGACTAAAATTACGGCCGCTTTTCATATAACGGTAAATTTCAGAAATGCTTGAAACTGCAATATTTCGAAATTTAAGGACGCTAATTTACTCAAAATTTATACACCCCGGCTTACCATCTAGCGGTAGGTTTCGGAAAGGTGAAAAAACATATATTTAATACTTGCGCCGGGTATTTAATGTTCGGCTCCACCCGAACTTAGGCTTTCTTACTTGTTTAATATAATTTTATTTTTTTCAACAAAAATTTATTTTTTTTACCAAAAATTTATGATTTACAAAAATTATTTTTTTTTTACAAAAATTTATATTTTTTACAAAAATTTATTTTTATTAACATACATTAATTTTTTTACCAAAAGTTTTCTAACCAAAATTTATTTTTATAACAAAAATCTATATTTTTTAACATATTATTTTTTAGCAAGAATTATTTTTTTTTTAAGAAGGAACTGATATTTTCCAAAAAAAATTTAACTTAAGGAAAAAGTACGTAATAATTGAATGAATTTTTTATATTTATATAATTATGAGTTATATTTTATATAATTATGAGTACATACATATATAGATATGTATTTGCCAAATAATGTAATTTTAGCGGAAGTAAAAAACTGAAAGAAAAGTTTTCTTTGATTTGGTGCCTCTCATTGAAAAAAGACAAAAAGCCATTTAATTCTGTATTTTAGCGCTTTCACTTCAGCATAATATTTAAATATTTAATAAAGTGTTGATGATCTATTATTCAACTACGGCCGGTTGGTTTCCTTCTTTTCAACTTTTGGCACAATTAATTATTTTTTCTCTGCGTTTGGTAAGCATTGGCTCCTTCTCATACCCAAAATAACACATTTGAATCACTACCTGTGCTTTCCGCGCTATCATCATTTCATCATTTCTGCGTTTGAGCACCGCCTGCTCAGCACAGCTGATCGCTGATAGTTAATTAAAAGTTATTGAACCAACGCGTTCGCGCTTAGCTTATTAAAGATGTACAGAAGTGGCGCTCTTCGCTATTCAGCGCTATACAATCAAAAACTCACACTGAGCTGCACAACGCAGCGGCCTAGAGACGACGACACGTACAAACGTAACCAACGTAACGTGAAACCTGTTGTCGACAGTTTTTGTTAGAATATACGAAAAAAAAAACTGGTAATTGATCAAAGTTTCACGCTAAGCCGCATTAGCGAACACCTCTCAACCGGTTTGTCAGCGTTAAGAATAGTAATAAAATACGAAAAACATAAATTTTCATAGCAAAACAATTATAAACTATTTTAATATCCCCTTCTACGAAACGGTTAGCGCAACTAATTCCTTTCACACCTCTCCTCACGCTTCCGCACTCATACACCACCTACCTCTTAACTCTTAACAGATTCTCTACATTCTAGCTAAACTTGCCTACCTTGTTATTATTGCGTAGTATCACAGCATTTTGGGCCGCATTGTTACGGTTTCGCACCAAGACATTCCGGCAGTCATCACAGAGATAATTGTTGTTGTCATAACCGTTGTCACCGTCACCATTGCCACTTAGATTCAATTGTAGACCTTTCACAATGGCTTTTGTTGCATTGCAACTTAGTTTATTTTCCTTGTTGTTGTATGCCGTGCGCTCCGTTTCACTTTGTGACGTTGAACTATCATCAATAAAACGCAAATCACCACCACCAACATCAGCGAGCGGACTAATGCCAAGACGCGGGCAACATGGCATACTATTCACGCTATCACTCTCGCCGCCACCCACACTCGCTGACTCTTCATCCTCATTCAGTACATTGTCCAGACTATTGGAGCGTTGCTTTGTACGCTCGCGTTGCGGTCGACGCGCCACCACCTCACCGCGTTCGTTCAACACCAGCTCAACTGGACGCGTAATCACCATAGTGTGCTGCGTTGTGGTGGTCACCGAGCGTTTGAACTCTGAACGTTTCGTTAGCAGCAGCGTATTCGGCTCATCGCTAGGCAGGCGCGTCACCTGCACATTTCGGCTCACTTCCTTCTCCACAGTGCGTTGACTGTTTAGCGTAATGGGCGTCGTCGTCGACGTCGTTGAGGTCGTTGAGTGCGAGATGCCCTCATAGATGGGGTTGTCTGTTAGCGCGGGTATGGTGTAAGTCGCTACGCTGGTATAGGGCGTGCGGGTAGGTGAAAGCGGTGATTTTTGTATTGGTGGTGTCGCTGTCTCCATTGGCGTCGTCACTTTTGCTGGCGTTGTGTCGGCGCGCTTCCGCATTTGCGGCGTTGCAGGGCGTGATGGCACGGCATATTTGCTACTACAGCAGCAACGCGAGCACAGCTGCGAAACACGTTTCCCGCTAACCAGTCCGCGTTTATCGTCGCTGGTGCCATCTTCATCATCCTGCAGATTATCGATAGATGCTGCAGCGCTGGGCAGGTAGCACTGCCCCTTCTTATTAGTGCCGCCAACGCCTCCCAGCCCCGGCAGCTCCGCTGGCGACACATAGAAGGTGCTCTTGCCACTGAGGTCGATGCAACTGCGCTGGAAATGCTTGCCACCGTCTTGCAATACACCGGCCTTCTTGTTCTTTGGCTGTCGGCGTAGCGACGAGAACCAGTTTGAGATGCTTGGCCGCTTCTGGTGTTGGTAATGCTGCAGGGAAGCCATGTCGGTGCAAAAGACTGTTGATTGCTAACCAGTTGAATGCTTGTGGTTGAGAAGTTGTGTGTTCGAGTGCGAGTGCGAGTTATAATTTTCTCGTTAATTTGTTGCACTTCTTTTCCTGTCTCGAGTTGTTGATTTTTTTTTCCGCGTGCGTTCTGTTTTATTTCGTTTATCCAGTTCTTGCACTACAAATGAATTAACTTCCTTTGGTATTCTTTGATTATTTTTTTTTTGTTGTAAATTTTTACGACTTCTGCTTAATCACTTGTTGCCACTTGTTGCTAGCTGGCACATACGCACACCTTGTAGCTTTTTAAGAAAAAAAAAACCAGTTCCTGTTGCTCATTACACGTCGAAATTATTATGGCTTCTGCTGCTGGATACCAACTGTAGTGAAAAAAATAATTACATTTGATATTTTAGGCATGCAAGCGTTCAACTTCAATAAAATGCCACTGTATGTTGGTTCATCGTTATCGGAGTATTCGCGCAAAGTTGTTGAAGACCGAAGGAGGAATGCAGCTTAAGAGTGAAGAGATAATGATAGTAAGGCACTTCGCGACTATTCGCCGAATAGTTATTTAATCGCGGTTGAAGAGAGTGAATATATATTTTATTTTTACTTTTTTAATTTGTCTTTTCATGCCATAGATATTGCAATTAGGGTTGCTTTGCCATTTTTTCACTTTTTTCATGGACATCACATCTGCTAGCTTACTCTATTTAATTTCACTTCTATTTATTTTACTTCACCTCATCTCGCTTTATTATTTTAGCATTTCCTGTCTTTTTATTTATTTTACTCCATTTTCTTTGCCACACTGTTCACTTCAATTCGTTCTATTCCAATTTAGGTATTTAATTTCACTCGCTCGTATAATTTATTTACAATTCTCAACTTTCTAATGTATCCATTAAAGAAAAAACAAATAATTCACCTTTACTAATGCCGAATTTCCTCTAGGCATTGAAATGACGAAAATTGCAATTTTCTTAATGTAATTGCACACGTATTTTTAATGCCCAATTATGCCATTAAAATTTGTGTAATTTAATACATAGTGGAAATCTGGCATAAGTACCGCCTCGTGTGTGCAATCATCGTCATTCAACCACCACACACCGCAGACGAAAAGCTTCAGCTGCCAAGAGAGACTCGACGCAATTACAAACTGGATACTGTAGCAGGTAAAACTCCTACATATTAAAGCTCAACGACGTAACGTAGACGTAGGTTGACGCAGACACGATCTACCTTATGGGATTCGCGTGTTAACGAAAGCTCGCCACCGCATGGCATGGTTGATATGCTGCTACGTACGTCAACCTACGTTTACGCTACGTCGTTGAATAACTGCGCTTGTACCCAGGCACGGCCCGTCTTATGACGGCACCCCCAGGGCAGCAGCCATCTCTTCGCTTGCCCCATTAACTCACGTCGTCTATTACCCTTTTACCTATGGTACGACCCCGTAGAAACAGCACGTATCGTGGACCACGCGTTATTTGACAACGATTGCTAGAACTTGACAGTACTTGGCAGCCCCAGATAGTTCTACTACAACAACAAAATTTAGCGTTAAAGGCCTTTTGAAGCATAGACTCGATACATTTTTTATATACTTCCTGGAACATATTTAACCCACAAGAAGGAATGAAATTAATAAGCTGTCTTTGCCCACCCAAGCGCTGAAACTTTCAATCGGGACGGGAGCAGTACACGAACTCCTCCTCTACGCGCTTTGGTCTCGTCGTCCTCTCCTACGTCCGAGCGTGGGCACAAATGCGGCTAATGTTGGCGAATTTAGCTTCGATGCGGATTGAAGCAATTCGTTTACTGAAGGGGGGTAAACCTGGAGTCAGAGTGCCGCAGTCTAAGCCCAATCACAAATCCTGCAGCGAACTTGTGTGCAGTCTCATGACAGCACAGCAATAATAAACGTCGTAAAAGAATTGTATTTCCTACGTATAGTTTTTAGATTTTGACTTTTATAAAAAAAAAAGACATTAGGAGAATTCGCTCTTATGTGTATTCGTTGTATGTTGTGTAATCGTAACTGCATGAGCGCGTGATTTGTTGTTGCTAACGGTACATCAAATGCACATGCAACAACAACCACACGCTCGTCCAGTTACACTTACCCAGGATAAAGCGAATACACAGAAGTGCGAATACCACTATTGCATCCTCCAGCAGTAGTACCAGTCATCATACGATAATCCCATCGAACTTGCTACCTCTCTTCCATAAGTCAAACATGTCCTGGGGAAAGCGCTTCTCTTGTTCTTCCATATAGGATCCGAGACTATCTTAAGATTTTAAAGCTCTCCAGCATGTCGCTTACAATTTCGGTGTAGTTACTTGACTTACAATTTCGCAGAACATTTTTAGTAACTTCAACAAACGAAGTCCATGCCGGACGTTCCAGATTGTTCATTGAATTTCAGAAATCCGAATACTTTATTAATGTTCTTAATTGAGCGTCATCGAAAAGTTTCGCTTTTATATTTTCTGTGCTTAGAGCAGGAAATTTTTTCATTATATAACAAAGATATTGTCCATTATTGTCTAGAGGCTTAACAAATTGGCCCAGTTTTATATTTATATAAATAGAGTGGGCGATCTCTTGAAACAAAAAGGGGATTTACGATATTCTTCCAGACTCATTTCCCGAACAAGTTATTGCACATCTAAACAAAAAGCAAGAAAACAAAACTTCTGTACATTCTTTAGATAGTTCTCGACATCTTATGCATCCATTTAATTCCTCTCGAATGAAAGGTTTAGACTTTATAGACACTATACCTTCTAAATCACTCTTATTGCTCAAATAAAATGTGTTATACGTACTTCTTTTGAATGCGTTAAGGGTACTCTGGGCGATTCTAAATCTGTATAAATCATTTTTTTAACGTTTGGTTAGGTTAGGAGGGCGTGTGTGTTTTTCGCCCTCTTTTAGTGAGTGTCAGGAGTAGACACGTACCTATATCGAAAGAGTATCTTTAAGTGATTATTTTATTGAACCAATTACTATCCCTGATGAAGCCGAGGAGATCCAACAGTTCCACCTCTGCTAGTTCACCCAGCCTGTTGGAAAAGCGTGAACGCAAGTAATTGAGTCGCTTCGTCTGTAGACCGGGACATCGACACAATTAGTGGTAGATTTTCGGAACCTTCTAACTATGCATTCATCACAAATGTAACAAAATACATATAGCTCATTGAGACAATTTCTTTGCGATGAAAACATGTGATTAAAATCAATTTATATATAAAAACGTACCGATAAGACTTAAGAACGCGCCCACAAATGTTTTGGTTACAACCAATATACAAAACTGGCATTAAATTCAAAAGCACAAGTAGGAAGAAAAGTAAAAAAAAAAAGTATTTTTAGTTAGTACTGTCAATGCACACCTTATAACTAGGGTTCGAACGATACTATCGATATTGAGTAAGCATCGATACTGAGGGTATAAAAATGAGTACTTTAATACTCGATAACTTATTTGGTGATTTTACTCGATACTTTGCAAAGTACTCGTAGTATTGAAAACTTTTTTAAAAACATACTTTTTAAATTTTTTCTTTGCTTATAAGGATTACTATCATTCAATTTTGTCCATCACTTAAAATAAACTGAAATTTCGTGTAGTCTGTTGCATAACATAAACGAAATAAGTTAAAGTTTAATGGCCTTATTCATAAAAAATAAAGTAGGTAGAGCTCAATAAAATGACATTTTCTTACATTTTTCAGTTTATAAACCTTTTTTCATGAATAAGGCCATAAAACTTTCCGCCAAGTTCACGAAAATGCAGAATTTTTTTAAACCTTTTGGGTATGCAGTTTTGTAACCTATTCAACTTTACGTGTAGCCTACTTCCATTGACTTTTAATTCAATCTTGCCATTATTATACTAAAATTGAATAGGCTACAAAAATGCATACCCAAAAAGTTTACAAAAAATCTTAATAATATTTGAAATTCGTGAAAGTATATATATATATGTATGTATGTATGTATGTACATTTAACGTTAAAATTACTTCTTATGTGAAAGTAAGTTCTGCAATGAAATAAAAATCAAATATTTTAAAATTGTATTGTTTTAATTTCAAGACATAACTAGATATACGATTAAAGAATAAAATAATTTTAGTATCCCAAAAAACGTATTTTAATGAGGTCGATACTGAGTAGTATCGATACTTTTCCCCTGATACTTTTAGAGTATCGATACCATAAGCTCGATGACAGAATGAGTACTCAGTATCGATACCAAAGGCTGAAATTTCGAACCCTACTTATAACAAACCACTAACGATATCTCGGCACCATACATAAGAATCATTTCTTAAGCTTGATGAGAACTACAAATGAGAGCGAAAGAAACTGACAAAATAGAACCAGCACAAACTAAAGCGAGGGGTTATTAAGCGATTCAAAAGCTGTTTTCCAACACGTTTTCAAAATCTCATAAGCACTTTTTCTAAACAAAAACCGGAAATTAAAACTTAAACAACTTCTGAAAGCAATTTTTTTCACAGTACAATTCAATAGATGTTCAACAATTTTCGAAGTCGCCAGCAAACTAAACAATTTATTTACAGAAGCTGCTGGAACAACACTTGACAGCAAATAACCCATTTGCAATGCTTCACAATCAGCCAAGAAATAAACTAAATATTTCATTAGACAACCAAAGCGTTCAATAGTAAATATGTACACATGTATGTATGTATGTGGCAGCAGGAAGGTTTTACACTGTAATGACTTTTTGGCAAAATAATTAAGCTGAGACGCTGCCGCCACAGCCACAAACGACCTGAAGGAGCAACAAACAACGACAAAATCTTCTCAAATAAGGAGGCAACCTTTGAAAAACATATTAAGAACAGAAAGACTTTGGCTTCTTTGCAATACATGCATGTACACATGTGTACACAGAAGACCGTCTACGCCAAAAAAGACATTGCAATAAAGTCTGAAAGTTATAACC